TCCTTCACTGCCATGGTGTTTTCCCATCCGGGAGCTGCCATTTGAACAGAAGGAGCAGCAGGTTTTCCCATCCGGGAGCTAGCATTTGGACAGAGGGAGCAGCAGGAGCAGGAGCAGCAGCAGCAGGAGGAGGGAAAAGGTAGCTAAAATCATCCTTTTCTTTGGGTTTCAGAAATTACATTGGGCACTTTTTTGGGTGCAATTTTGCTGCCTTTCCGTCCTTCACTGCCATGGTGTTTTCCCATGCGGGAGCTGCCATTTGAACAGAAGGAGCAGAAGGAGCAGCAGGAGCAGAAGCAGCAGCAGCAGGAAGAGGAAAAAATTGCTAAAATCATTCTTTTCGATTGGTTTCAGAAGTTACATTAGGCACTTTTTTGGGCGCAATTTTGATGCCTTTCCGTCCTTCACTGCCATGGTGTTTTCCAGCAGCAGCAATAGCGCGGAGGAAAAAGTAGCGAAAATTATCCTTTTCTATAGGTTTCAGAAATTACATTAAGCACTTTTTGGGCGCAATTTTGCTGCCTTTCCGTCCCTCGCTGCCATGGTGTTTTCCCAGCAGCAGCAATCGTGCGTAGGACAAAGTAGCGAAAATCATCGTTTTCTATGGGTTTCAGAAGTTACATTAGGCACTTTTTGCGCGCAATTTTGATGCCTTTCCGTCCTTCGCTGCCATGGTGTTTTCCCATCCGGGAGCTGCCATTTGAACAGAGGGAGCAGCAGGAGCAGGAGCAGCAGCAGCAGAAGGAGGAAAAAGTGGCTCAAATCATCCTTTTCGATGATCAGCCCTACGGATTTCGATTTCGCCATGACCAACCCTCATTCAAAAAAACCATGGTGGTTTCCGTAAATGAGGGTACCCCATTGAAAAAAAAACACTTTAGATTGGGATTCTCCGTGAAAAGACCATTCAGCTATTGATGCTACTAGTATTGGGGATCCTCCATTTATGGAAACCCAAAAGGTTGGCTGCCACCTTGGCTCTGGAAAATCTCACCATTTTACATCCGTTCCATTGGTGCAAAGAAACCCAATGATGATTACACACACACCAAAAAAAAAGAAATGGGGTGCATGTGTCTCAAAATGGAAGATGATACCCCCAAAACAACAATTTGATAGATTTTGATATTGTAAGTATTGGAACCAAATTGGAATTGATGGACTGTCCAGCTATTAACTAGCTGACATTGCCGATCCTGAATATTTCAGCAGGCGTCCACTCTTTCACTTTGGGATTTAGTAAAAAAGAATCCGTACCTAAGAAATATCATAAAATGAAAGAAAACAACAAGAATTCAGTATTATATAAGATTCTTAAGATGTAATTAAGTACAGTAGGGATCCAAACCATTGCACCCTGCTGTTCAAATTTGCCGTGGGATTCCTTGCGATCCCTTGGGCCCCCCGGCAGGCTGAGAACTCTGAATATCGAGAAACCGCTTATAAATGGTCGTACCGCGGTAGCGCAGAATCAACAGAATCGGAAAACAAACTGGTTAGTTGACCATTCTTCCGGGGTCGGCGGCAGGGGCGGCAGCCCTTAAATATATATATATACAGTATACATATAATATAATATAATATAATATATTATACTATACTACACTATAATGTGTATATATATATGTGTGTTTTTATCTTATGTAAAATATAAACTGTCTCTCGGTAGATTGTATTCACGGCAGTTTTTTTGTTCTTGTCACGAGATCATGGTGGGATGAAACCAGTGAGAACAGGCTTGCTGGGTGGATGAAATGGGGCAACAAAAATATACAAAGTGGCCCACATCAAAACCTATTGATCCGCACATTTGGAACATTTACATCTGGGACCAGTGTACAAAATAAACAGCCATATGAAGCCAGATGTTAAATATAGTTGACCCCTTTATAAACCCATGTGGTAAAAATACTCAACAACCAGCTAGGATGAATCCAAGAAACCATGGCAAAAGAAACACAACTGGCTGGGATATGAAGATCCAGGGATTGTGAGCTAGAGATACAACTCTGGTAGGTTTTGAATGTAAGTCATAAATCTGGAGTAAGCGATTTTTCCGCACGATCCCCCATGGTAACAACCTAAAGATGGTTCTCTTGTCACGATTGTCCACATCCTTCAATAAAAAAGGGTCAGAGACTGACTGCAAACGGGGGAAAACAACATTTGGCCAGTTCCACTTGGTGCGGATTACAAGCCGTGCTAGCGCAGGATTTTTCTCCAGCGCTGTCGACGTTTATCTGTCTTAGCTTTGGTTGTTTTTTCCCAAGGGAAGCTCTTTGAGCGGAGACATCTCCTGTGCACATCCCAGGAATGGGGGAGATCAAGCATAGCTTTTCAGGAATTTTTCCATGGCAAAGCATGAAATGCTGGATGATTCGGGTCCCTAATGGTGGAAACTGGAAACACCAATTCTTTTCAATGTTATTGATCATTGTCCCATGTGTTCTTGGGTGTTGAAGTCAGGAGGCGGACGAAGACTAAACCTCCGGCAGCTTGCGGTGTCTGAAAATGGCTGGTATCCAGTATACCCCAAAATGGCAATGTCAGAGAATTGTTTGGGTGAAAATCATGATCAACCGATCAACCGTCCAAACTTGGGTACCTGATTTTCAGACAAACCCACATGTGGGGACATTGATTTCCACTGGGTTTCCTACGCAAATCTTCCTTGAAATCATTGGGAAATCACCTAGGCTTGTTTGATCATCTGGTTCCTCAGGTCATTCGACTGCCCCAGCTGCAAAGTGTGCCACGTGTCAAACCAAGTCTTCCAAACCATCATGATGGCAATCGGCGATCGGATCCACCAAGTGTCCATGCTGCTAGACCTTTGATCTTGGGATGATTCAGCTGAGGATCTGATTGGACCTTTCCTGCGTCTCTGATCGACCAGATCTTCCGTAGTCAATCTCAGAAATTCTCTGTCTTTGGCTCACCACACTTTGCCAAAACCTCCTTCTCCCAGCAGAATGTCAGACTGCAGATTCAACTGGTGCAGCGCTGTTTCATGGTATTCTTGGACCTTGCAGTAGCGCCTACCAGCTCCAGCCGCTCCAAGCAGCCTGCGTTTCTCTTTGGTAATCTGCAGCGCACAGCGGCACACACCGGCACCCCAGCCCCGCAAACCGCTGTCAAGCAACCCCTCCAAATAGATACGCCCCAACTACACCTACCAACTCAACTTCACCTACCAACTCAACTTGTAAATCACCCGGCACCACCTCTTTTCTTCCCGTTCCTGAAGCTTCTCCTTGATGGTCAGCTCCAGGTCGCGGCTCAAGTGGACTTCGACCATGAGTTTCTTCGTCATATGCGGCACCAGTGGAGTCGAATTCCATAAAATCTCACGTGCACCCTGCGTGCTGACCACGATTGGAGCCAAGTCCAAAGCCATGCAGTACACAGGTCCATCATCCTCCTGAAATGTCCGGAATTCGATCGTAGCGTGGATGAAAACACCTTGAACCTAGTCATTTTATGTCATTTTCAGGCTGATCATGCTAACTGTCAACAGATCAGCGCGACTCATTAAAGTCATTCAAGACCACAGCCGCGAGCATCGGCAGCCCGAGGCACCCCAAGTCCATCATGGCTGGACGCCCATGGATCGGACCAAGTGTCCATGCTGCACCTTTGATGCTGGGATTCAGAAGCAAAGCGTTTATTTCTCTATTCAATCTATTCATGCTTTCCTGCGTCTGATCTGGGGACCAGATCTTCCGTAGTCAATCTCAGAAATTCTCTGTCTCTGGCTCGCCACACTTTGCCAAAACCTCCTTCTCCCAGCAGAATGTCAGACTGCAGATTCAACTCGAGTGGGCCATTGTCAAAGCTTCGTCATTGCAGCAATTGCAGGCGCTGCAGGAGTTGGATTGGAAAATTGAAGAACCGACTGGAAAAATTGTGCTGTCAGGATTGCTCAATATTGCCCAGGTGTTTCGTAAAGCTGGAAGGTGTATCCTTTCCAATGTGTTTCTTGTCTCTATGCGACATGTAACCAAGGAATTCTACTGATCTGTTTCCATTCCCATGACCTCTCACTTTCAACGTTTGCGCTGCTGACTTAGCTGCCACTTCCTGGAGTCAATTCCCAAGCCATACAGCAAGGAGAGACTGGCACCTGAATCAGATCTTGGATGGTAGCACCTTGGACCTCATTCAACTGCCACCTCTTCGTCAGGTTATGTCAGGTCGGCCGCAAACCATCCAGCTGTGGTGTAAGGTATCAGGTGTAGCAAACCGTTTGCAAACCCCAAAGGTCAATGCCGAAAATACCTTGGAAACCTGAACATATGTTAAGATCATCTGAACTATAACATCCTGGAAACACCTTTCTATGTTTTTGAGGGGGTGCTATACAGTCTTCATTCAATATTTTCGACAACAAGCCATGCAGTTGGAAACGCCACGTTCTTAGCCCAAATGGCAGCTCAAAACGGGTAATGACGCAACCATCACTGGTTTGATGTGGGGAACAATGCGTATCTCAAACCATGTATGTGTGCTGCCGAGTTTTGGTAGGGGTTCCTTCTTGAGATTTCCCTGGAATGGGATTCAAGCATCCAGCTGTTGAGACAACCGTTTCAACAAAATGCTCATCAATCAAGAACAAAACAACACCAAACCAACAAAAGTGTCAAGGATTTTCAAGTTTTCTCGGGACTCCGGTCGATGCGAAACCAACATCTGTTTATCCTCGAGTCTCAAATTTTCACCAAAAATACCCAAGAAAAACTGGCGATCTTTTTCTTCAGCTTCCCTATCGATGTTGAGCGGAAGGAGAGATCTCTCCCCCCACTTGGACCGCGAAAAGCCGCGATGAAACAATTGGGACACGCCATCCCTTTGGGCTGGGGATACAATCGGATACAAAGGTCGGCCTGACTTTCTGCGCCATGAAAATCATGAAATGGTGGAGGATTGGGGACTTGAGATTGATGAAATCTCTGCATGTTCACCGGTATCCCACCTCAGATGCTGAGTAAAAAAACGGCCCTCTACGCGTCCGGAGGGAAAAGACCAAACCTGTGGCACGCGGAAGTGACTGGACAGACAGGGGGCCACAAAAACGGTCCTGAAAATTATCCACTACCCTCTGGTAATTTAACATAGCAATAGAAAATCCACCCATTTTTAATAGGTAAACCATCTATTTCTATGGGTCATTTTCCATAGCTTTTTTGTATGTTTACCAGAGGGTATCCCATGATCATCCCATCCATGAAAAAATCCAACCAGGGAAACCTTTGCACAAAGCCACAGTTTTGGATTGGTAAATCCCAAAAATTTTATGGTTGTTTTGTGTTTTCAATGGTTGTGGTTTATGGTTGTGGTTATAATCCCATTAATAGATTAATAACCTCATTATTGGAAATCATTGTTGATAATATACCGTTGTTTCATATGGTCGTGGTTTATGGTTGTTTCTTGATGGTGATGCCCATAACGTATTCTAATAATTCCCAATACATGAAAGGTAGATTAATCAAGATATGATGGGTTTTAAATTCCCAGGAATAATCAATATGATAGGCTGATAACCGCAGTATTGATAATATATAAGGGAAACCTTTCATTGTTCCATCATGCAATCTGGTAATTTAACATAGCTATAGAAAATCACCATTTTTAATAGGTAAACCATCTATAAATGGGCCATTTTCCATAGCTATGTTAGTTTACCAGAGGGTATGCAATCTGGCATCTGGTATGTCAATTTAAACTTCAACTGTGGTTTTTTACCAATGCCATTTCCTGGTACATTGACCACATTGGGTTGATGTTTCATAATCAGGTCAGCCCAAGAATAAACCATCCACGAATAAAAACCAGGAATGGGTGAAAACATCCCCAATCGAAGGAGTTTATCATTGGGTTTACCACATTCCTCAACAAATTCATGCTTTGAAGGCTATGAACATCTTTGGCCTCTGGTGTCATCAGCTCGGCGCAGGCTAAAAAAGATCTACCGGCAATAGTTCGATGATTTTTCCAGCGAACTAAACCCCCCATGTACCCTCTGGTAATTTAACATAGCTATTGAAAATGGCCATTTATAATAGGAAAATCCACTATAAATCACCATTTTCAATAGCTATGTTAGTTTACCAGAGGGTATAGGAGATGTCCCATTTTGTTTACATGGGATTTTCCACCAGGTTCTCCAGTGCTAACATTCACCTGGTTCTAGAAGGCTGTAATGCTGGCTTTATATAAGGCGTGTTTTTTGCCATTTCTGGACAGACCCAAATATCGTAATTTTTGTTGCTTACTGTGTGTACATGTACCCTCTGGTAATTCGACATAGCTATTGAAAATGGCTTAGCTTATATTGCCTCCACATGGTGATTTTCCATAGCTATGTAAACGTTTACCAGAGGGTATACAAAACATATGGTATCCCACTATATCCCATTGTATCCCATTACAATCATTCCAAACTACGTTACCCCTTGATGCTTCATCATGAGATCTTCCATGAAAGCTGCAATGTTTAATGGCTATCCCCAATGTACAGACACCCAAATACCAGTTTGCTGTTTAATATATAATATACATGTTATTTATTGTGTTATAGATAAGATATGTATTATATATTAAATATTATAATTATATATATTAGATTTCATATATATATATTATGATATTAGAAACTAGATATTGGATGCAAGATATCATATATTGATACCATCTGGTTATTTAACATAGCCATGGAAAATCCCCATGCTATTAATAGGTAAACGTCTATTTCTATGGGCCATTTCCCATGGCTATGTTAAATAGCCAGAGGGTATATCCCACTTTAACCGGACCCAAAGCGCCTTTCGCCCAGCTCCTTCAGTTCTCCGCCCGCCTAGGACCGACCCAACAACGAGGCCATCAGACTTCGGAGTGAAGCAACGAGAAAAACGGGGAAATCTATGGGAAATCTATGGGATATGAACCAACAAAAAACTGTGGATATTGTGGAAATTTGGCTGGATATTCTGGGGATATGATGGGATGTGATCATGAGGTATGAGAAAGGAAAAAACCTAGGGAAGGCAATCCGAACAAAAATCCTAGTCCAAAAAGCTTAACCCTCAATTAAAAGAGGGAATGCACCCAACAAATACTGAGATTGGATCGACTGTCTATCAGCAACGACCGGTCGCTGGGTTCACCAACAAGAGCTTGGATCTTGTCAGCAATATATAGGAGTATCGCCAAAAAAAGTGCAAATGTGATGATTTTTACATATCTGCGTACACATGTGTATATACTCACATATATATATATAATTAATTATTATTATTATTATTGTTATTGTTATTGTTATTATTATTACTATTATTATTATATTATTATATTATATTATATTATATTATATCATATTATATACTATATTATATACTATATTATATCATATTATATTATATTATATATATAATATATTATATATATAGCAACGTGGCAACAGCAACTAAGACTGAGGGGATGCCTACAACCAATCGCACTTCAATGAAAGTGATTCCGGCAGTACTGGGGAACCACAAACGACAGGCCCCACCTTCAAGGCATATTGCGCCCAGAGCGGATCCTGAGACTTGAGGATGGGTCAAAACCCTGGTACCTAGTGAACCCCAAAATAGCTGGTAAATGGATGTTCATCCCACTAAAAATGGTATCTATAGGTATTGACCCATACCCACTTCATGGCGTCTCTGATTTTTTGTAATGAACCCATGACTTTCCAGTTTGTCTCACCATGAACTACATTGTAACTACATCATTCCATCGACATGCATAAATATATATAAACATTGCCATGTTTGAGGGCGAACTCCCGCCCTAAAATCAGCGAATTCCAGGGCGGACCTCAAAGGAGGAGTCCGGTTCGCGCAGCAGAAGATCGCCACTGACAGGTTGAGTGATTGATATACCACTTGATATGTGGATTGGTGGGCTGATATGTGGATTGGTGGGCTAAGTCACCCAGAAAAATAAACGGATATACATTGCAATATATGGCAATAGATGGCCATATGCTGTATTTACATTGGGTATGATACCATTTTGGCATTTAAAATATCTGAAGCAACAACAATAGTACCAACTACAATGGGGATGTAATTCATCGGATCCACAAAGCTATGAACCATCACCAAAAGTTGTGGTGTATGAAATTCTGTAGACCCCTTGATGGCTGTGGCTCCAACTTGGGGTACTTTCATCATCCCGAAACGGTGTCTTCCTTGTGGAACGGATATGAAAAAATAGGCCATTTTAGGTCGGCTGATGCACAAGCTGCCATCCACCGGCAGTGTTTTCGAGACAGACAAATAGCAAGGCCTGATGCCTCCAAATTGGGAATCCGGCTCTGTCCCATGGTTTGAAAATGCCTAAAAGACCTCTTCTGAAACCTCTATTTTTGGGAGGCAAATCCACATATAAAATCATATGTTGGATGTGTCTTAGTCACTATCTCCCATTCTACGGCATTGTATATCCCACAAAATACCCCCCATGAGTATCCATTCGTCATGTTGGATCCCATCCCTCGATTCTTAGCACATCCCACGGCCCAGTGATTCACCGGGCCTCACCGTCACAGGGATCCAAATCCCTTGCTCCGGCGCCAGCTCGTCGATCTGGGGATGGGATGGATGGGGTTTCTGGACCCAAACTCTGGCGTCGCAAACATGGGGGGCATAAGATCAAAGTGGAAAATGGTGCTCAATCGGATTGACAGGCTTTCGGGGTCGCAATTTGAGACGAAACTCTTGTAGCAATGGAAATCTCGGTGTGTGGCAAATCTGGTCTGAGCTTTGTCATTCAGGCCGTTGACCTATATCATTTGATTTCGCCCCTGAAAAACGAGCCACGCTATTCTCAGCAAGGTCTCAAAAAAGTCCTTCTGCCGGCAGAAAAATCCAGCAACACAATTGAGCCAATCTGATATCATTTAATGCTAAGAGAAACAACGGCAAAGTTTTCGCAGAAGGTGGTTTAAGAAGTGAGAATCTTTAGCCGCTTCGTCAATGTTGTTCAGTTAATATTACTTAATAAGTCAGAAATTCGAGTTAGTCAGGCTAATATTGCATCAATAGATCATTGTTTTTGGTTGGTGAAGTTCGAATCCTCCTTTATCTCCTGTCATTCCTCCATTAGATTCTTGTGGCCAAAACAAAACATCTCGTATCATTGTGCTTGGGAAACTTTTGGTAGCTCCATTCACCACTCCCCGGGAAAAGCTGAACACCCCATTCACGCTCCATTCACCGTCCATTCACCGCTCCATTCACCAAGGGTTTGTCGCCTCATCCATGCGCCAAACCACCTGGTTCCAAAAGAACTTGAAGCGTAGAGCAGACCCCGGACCCTGGGCGCACTGTGAGTTGTTCCACACGATTTGTCGATGATTTTTTTTCGATGAAAAAAAGAAGCAAATCCTTCTTTAAATAGAGGTAAATAAATGTAAATAAGCTGGTGATCTATTTTTGGATGATTGCTATAATGACAATATTTATTGATTTTAGCTTAGCAATACGGCAATCTGGTGCTAGAGGGATCATGATTCTGGGATGTTTGAAACCCCAAAAAGTGGTAGCAAAAAACGCTTCAAAAGACATCTTCAACTTGAGTGGTTTACCATTAGATGCTTATGCTCCAGTCGCAGTAAAAAGGCTTGTCTGAAAATTGGACGTCTAATCAAAATACCAGGGTCTGTCAATGGTCTATCATCATTTTCCCATATTTTCCATGAGTTTCCTCATCATTTTCCCTTCTCCCCATGAGCATCGCCATATCGATCTCAGGGCCGCCCTGCATTCTCGATCCAATCACATGCCATGTTGAAGTCGTCACTGCGAGGCGAGGCGAGGACTTGGCATGATTCTTGTTCCTCAACCCTGGGAAAAAAGAAAAACATATATATATATATTATATATTATATATATAATATAATATTATATAAACATGGAAAAGTTGATTCAAAATGAGTCAGATAGCCTCTGGAAATTTGTTAGCGAAAATCACCACTGTAATATATTGCTAGTGGCTACTGTAAACAGACTTTTTGATGTTTCGACACACATATTATACATAAGGTACCCTCTCGTAATTTGTTACATAGCTACGGAAAAGTACCATTGAAGTTATGGATGTAAATGGTCCATGTATGTATCGAAACACGTTGTAACGATGACTACTTCTCCCACTAGATAGGGGCACAGCTTCCATTTCACAATCTAAAGAAATATGCCATTACCACTCAGAGCAAATGAGCAAGCAGGGTTGCACTTCTTTACAATGAAGGTGAATGTGGTCTATCCTCCAATGCAACCCGTTGCACGCCAGGCCCCTTTTTTCCAAGGGCAGATCTATCCACTATGGCAACTGCCGCCATTCGCCAAAGTTCGCTGCAGTATTTGAGTAATTGAGTACATCCTGTGAAAATGCCTTCATCCCAGTCACCCTCAGTCTCCCTACATGTCTCCCCAAACCCGGGCGTTCCCCAAATTGGGGACCCAATTTGAACTCATTGTGATGGCATAAAATGACCCATTGTGATGGCTGAAAAATTTTTGGGGGTCCCCCATTTCAGGAAATCCCATGGAATCCCATGTCATGAGATTGCCCCTGTGGCGTCACGATTTGTGATGCTGGGACTCCCATGGTGCCATGGCCAGTGTCAATTTCAATTGAATTTTGGCAGAGCCCACATCCATTTGCCGCACGCAGCAGCACGTACTCCAGCGCACAGAAACTACCCTCTGGTAATGACTAACATAGCTATTGAAAATGGTGATTTATAGTGGATTTTCCCATTAAAAATGGTGATTTTCCATAGCTATGTTAGTTTACCAGAGGGTACTGTGCAGCCTCAGCTCTGTTCCATCCTTCCAAGTCCATCATGAAAGCTGGGAGACGGCCGTGGACTGGATCCACGACATATCCATGCTGCAAGGAATTGAGGACGTTGGGATCGTTCCGACTCCTCTGAATTAAGGTCTCGATTTCCCTCTTGGTATTTTCTTGCGACCTCTCATCTGGGAAGGAGATCTTCACTGCATAGAAAATTTGACTTTCTCTATTCCCGGCTTGCCGCACTTTGCCAAAACCTCCCTCTCCCAGCAGAATGGCGGACTGCAAATTCAACTGCACTAAGCCACCTGGCTGGTTCACTTGCAGAACTATCTCCTTTGCTCTGTTGTCCAACAAAGCACTGCCAGCGGTTGGATCTGGAACAACATACAGCGGCAGTTCCAAAGTGTCACCTAGCAGGGCATCTCTGTGCAAACCAAGCAAATGACTCAGACTGCTCGAGTCGCGCAACTCCTTCAGCGCTGTTCCATGGTAGTATTGGACCTTCGAATTGCACAAGCCCTTCTTTTCTAGTCGTTCCTGGAGTTTCTTCTTGACTTGTGGCCACTCTACCTCCATGCAAATATCCGGCTGAGTGTCCAGGGCCACGCGCAACCGCTCACGTGACTGCAGCTTCAAATTGGAGTTCATGAAGTGGAGATTGAAGAGGAGTTTCTTTGGCATGACTTCGACTATGAGTTCCTTTTGCATGTAGCTGCCCTGGGGCCGACTCGGGAATGAGCTCTGGGCTGCAGAGTCAATCTGGGGTTCCTTGTCCCCGGCTTGCCGCACTTTGCCAAAACCTCCCTCTCCCAGCAGAATGGCGGACTGCAAATTCAACTGCACTAAGCCACCTGGCTGGTTCACTTGCAGAACTATCTCCTTTGCTCTGTTGTCCAACAAAGCACTGCCAGCGGTTGGATCTGGAACAACATACAGCGGCAGTTCCAAAGTGTCACCCAGCAGGGCATCTCTGTGCAAACCAAGCAAATGACTCAGACTGCTCGAGTCGCGCAACTCCTTCAGCGCTGTTCCATGGTAGTATTGGACCTTCGAATTGCACAAGCCCTTCTTTTCTAGTCGTTCCTGGAGTTTCTTCTTGACTTGTGGCCACTCTACCTCCATGCAAATCTCCGGCTGAGTGTCCAGGGCCACGCGCAACCGCTCACGTGACTGCAGCTTCAAATTGGAGTTCATGAAGTGGAGATTGAAGATGAGTTTCTTCCCCATGATGCGAGGCAAAATGAGATGGATTGTGAAACTAGAGAAAAATGGGAAAACCATCCCAATAAGGTCGTTTGGATTCAGCTGAAAGTATCAAAGTAGCTGACTTGGAAAGGTTTCCACCACATTTGCTTAAGTTTGGAAAGTTGGCTTGGTCGTCTTCTTAACCAAGCTACAACTCGCGAAACTTGCGCTGAGTCCCCGGCTGCCAAGTCGATGGTGGTAAGCCCAATGCAAACTCATTAAACCATCCCATGAGCCATCCATGGGTCCTTTTCAATCACCCCAAATACGGTCTTGATGAAAGGTTGGTACATGCTTATTTCAGTTGCAAACCCCTCTGTTTTGAAAAACCACCCTGATCCAAGCATCTTTGTCAACTAAACCACCGCTTCGGCACCACAGAAATTGCACGAGGTCCACTTGGAAGAAATCATGGAGCATATCTCTTGGACGGATTCCATGTCCATCCGTACCCGTACCCTAAAATGGGTGTCAGAAAATTGTCTATGTCGTAACATGTCGACAATTGAAACATGGAATAAAATCATAATCATGGCATCTATGGCATCTAAAGCATTGGATGATGGGGTGTACCTCATCCAATAAGACATCCAAATCCACCCATAGAATGGGCAGATTCATGCTGATTCCAACGAATCCCATCCTTTTTGCTCAGCTGGTCGCGAACAACTGGAGTAACTGGGCCCCCCACTTAGGTCACAGTGCCACCAGTGTAAAACATGAGGAATTTTATGGATTTTTGAGTGGGATCGAAGAACCACTGTCACATTTTTTCTGTGAGGGATAGTCGGACAGTCCAAGATACCACGCCCAGCATGTGCTTTTTTGCAGGAAACCACAAAAATTTGAGCGTGAAACCCTTGGTTTTCTTGGAAATCAACCCAGTTTTCAGTGCGGTTCACCATGGGAAACAACAAAAATCATCCACGATCGGGGGAAATCATCAGCCAACAGTCGTCCTGTTCACCGAACTGGGCAAGTCCCAAACTGGAAGCCCAGTTAAACAAAGAGTTTCCATTTTCCATAGGAAAAAAAACAACAAAACCATTTGACATGGAGCTTGACCCAACCTGTTTTTTTTCAGGTCAGGTCCCCCTAAGTTGACACGCACGGGGAAGGTGCGGAGGCTGCTTTGTACATTGGTGGTCAAAGCCACGATGTGTTTCTTACCCTCTGGTAAACCAACAGCCCTGGCTGGGGCAACTTTCGAAACTGGACATTTCTGGTACTTTTTACCATCCCGTTTTGCGGAAAAATCAACAGGGACGCTCCAAGCCAGAATAGGTGAAAGATTGCCACAAACGGAGAAAATGATTTGATTCAGCCGTGATTTCTTTGAGCCATCCCTGAATCCATTGTGAATGTCCATTATGTCCATTGCCACCTCACATTACCAAAGGGTCTTCAACTCGCTTCTCTCAGCCGCTTGAGACGCCACAGTAGTTTCCGCCTCAGCTCAGGTCGGCGATTGATTCGGGTTTTTTCTTCCCCCACCAACCACCACGTTTATAAAGGCTGACCAGTCATTGGTGGGGGGTGAGCCGTGGAAAACCCTAGGGAGGTTGGTTGACTCCCCAAGGCCCTTCTGCCTTTCGATGGCCAATCTTAGGATACCCTGCTTTTGTTTTCACTGTGCATCAGGAACTGCTCCCAAAACAAATCAAAATACAGCTCCCAACAAACTAACCCATCGATCTGGCATACTGGGGGTTTCCAAATAATGGATGTCCCAAATCCCAACATCCATTGCTCAGCTGTCCATGATAAGCCGTCATCAAGTACAGGGACCCTAGCGCCGTGATGTGACTCTGAAAAAAAAATGTGCCCCACGTCGCTTCAATAGGAAGCCATGAACTGATTACAGTAAAATTCCGATGGGTTTGAATTTCTGAGATTCTGACACAGCTAACCACTGGGGCATTTCATGCTCAATTCCATGGAAGGCCACTTTCCGGGTGTCACAGTGTCTCGGCAATTCATCATCATTCCCAAACCCAAAATATACCCAAAATATATAAATACTCTTACAATCCTCATGCACGTCCGCCTACAAAAAGGTGCTCATCTGGAATGATCCAAATTGATGGTAAGTGAGGCTCTCCTTAGATCCTCCTCATCGCTGCAACGTGCTAAATCCCCATACACCTTCCTCAATGACTTACCATCCGTGGCACCTTCTAGAGCTGACCCTCTTTCACCGCCTGTGGCGAAACCGGAACTGGTGACCCATGAGGTCCCATCAACATCACCCTGTGGGGAAACACCACAGCAAGACCTGCCAAGAAGCATTTTAGGACGCTTATATATATATTAATATATATATATATATTAATATATATATATTAATATATTAATATATATATATATTAATATATTAATATATATATAAGATTAGAGTTTAATCTTAAGCACCCTGAATATCAAATGGCTCATTTCGCCTCTTGTACAAGTTACTAAATCCAGCATTCAGGGGGTCAAGCCGGGTCAAACGAGTCGCTGAAAAGTTTCTGGGATAACCTCTAGCAGGTAGAAAATCCAAAGCTGAAGGTGCCGATTTGCCATGGCTGATCTATTCGTACTAGGCAGGAAGTTGCGGACATTTGGTTGGATACCCATGAAAATATCGTCATTCGGATCCCCCAATAGATGTAAGATGGCTCTGATCAAGCTTATGGAGTGACAAACCCTTTCTGGACCAAGAAAAGGCTTCCTGGATAACATGTCGGCCATGAAATCTTCATGAACCACAAACTAAAAGCTCATCGCACCCTGCCGATGCCTTCCAAAACTCATCTGTCATTCTCAGTTCCTCCTCCTGAAAATCTTGCTGGACCCAAGCTGGAGAGGCTTGTTGCTAAGATAGGACCCTCTTTTGTGATTCAGCTGTGAGGAGGCTTCCTAATTTTGTTAGGTCACGAGGAAAAAATGACTTGGTGTTCCACGGCTTCGGGTCACCATTTTGCGGTGCACCCAACGATTTGACCCATAGCATTTTGGGGTCTTCTCCGTGGATGTTTCTTGGGTAATGCGTTGGTCTGAACTCGGGTACCCAGAAAAACAAAAAAAAAACAAGAAATCGAAAAATCATGGTTGGCAAACCACATGTACCAAATTGAGCCCCTTTGCATCACGAAAATTGCCAAGAAATTTGGAGATACTGACCTTATCATCTGCTCCATTTGGGTGGGTCCGTCACTTTCACAGAAAAAAAAGAATGGCAATCTATCTGTACATGCTGGTGCCCTCCATTTGTGTTTGCTGACTTATAAACCCCACTATCTAGTTTGATATCTACCATAAACCAGAAGCAACATAGCCATCTAGGCCTGATTAGTAAGTCCCCATTCAGTAGTTTATCCCATCTATACATGGATGAATTAACAATCGTAGCTATGGTTATGAACCACTTACGATCCCTGGGATCCTCATCTAGAGGTGAAAAACCTTGGTCTTGGTCTAGGGTTCCCCCCACATTTCGGAGTCCTGCTGGCTCTTCCAAAGTCGATCCTGCTCCTGCCGAAACTTCTTCACCCACCTCGGATCCAGTGAAACATGGGACATCTGGGGAGTTCTTCTGCAACGAAAATGGGAAATTCACCAACGAATAAGGGGTTATTATTATGTGCTATTATGGGGCCATGATGGGGCTATTACGGGGCTATTATGGGGATACTATGAGGATATTGACATAAGATATTGTAAAAAAAACTATACATAACTATATAGACCATACACCTAAGCTCGAAATCACAAAGTGCCCCCCTGAGCTGCGAAGGAATTGTGGCAAAACTTACAATGAAGTTTCTGGCCCCAAAGGAACATGTTTCACAGATTTCAAGGTGAACATGTTTTCTATACAGTAGATGCTTGTTTGATTTTGTCTGACTATTTGTTAGGAGGTTTCTGGCATGGTACCCCAAATCATCCAGGCCATGGATGACCATTTGATGTGTGGATGCCCCGGTGGAGCCACTTGTTAAAACAGATGTGCCCTACGGCATATGGTCCTCCATCCCATTTTTGTTTGGAATGCCCCTGGATTGTAGGTAGACTAACCCATGGATTAAGGCCTATGTTTCGGATGACCATCCCCCTTCTATGGCTTTTTGAATGCTATATCATCATCCCACTGACCATGACACACTCAACTGGTCCTCCTGATCCTTCCGGTCCAGGCTTCCGTGCTGCCCTCGATTCCAGGCCTGACAAAGCGGCAGAATTTTGGAGATGTCCTGTGGGTGAAACCAGAAAAATGCGGAGATGTGATCATCAAAAAAAATGGAAGATGTCATATTTCATGAGAGATGTTAGCATGATTTTCCGGCTCATTGAACTTCTTCCAGCCATGAAGACTCATGGATCCATGGATCGGTTTTCTCAGTAGAATCTTTCACCGGAAACCATGGTGTTTTTACCATAGGGTTCCGAAAATCGTGGCTATGGCTCAACACTGGGCTACCAAGTTTTGCACAACGGATCCACAAATCGTTGGTCATCTTTAGTATTAAAGCATATTGCCATATTTTATCATATATTGCCAATGCCATATTCATTCATCCAAAATTTCGGGCTGGATAATTTTGTGCCATACCATGCCATACCCAGAAAGAAAATTTTGGAGAACGTCATCTGTTGGAACCACCATCAGCACCGCAAGACTGCACCAAGAGTCACCGGTTGGGCGTGATCCCGAGATTGTTTGCCCCCAATTTTGGAGGGTTTAATACTGACATCCCAAAACAAAATATGTTTTAAAAAGTACAAAAAATCTGCGAGTTTACTGGTGCCCAAAAAAAAAGTTGGTCGCCCATCGCCCATCACCTTCCATTTCAAGCGCTGAATCTCTGCCTGCCAATGGGGGAAATCACGTCCGTTTGGGGATGGGTGAAAATTAGATATCTGAAAAACTTGGATGGTTGATACATGTCAGTACTATAAAAATCCTCTAAAGTTGGATGCTTAATAAAAATGCACAGAATCTCTTGTCCCCTGAACTAAAAATGTGTTTGACCCATTTCCATGTGTTTCTTCTGATTCTCATGGTTGTTTCTGCCATAGAGAGCTAAAATGAGTCGTCACCATCGTCACCATCCGAGCATCGCCTTGTGACACTGGTCGATGGTCTTTAAGATGCGTTGCTGACTGTGAAGATCCAAGGGTTTTAACCTCCCACTGACCTGGCGTGGAACTGGACTGGAAAAACGACGAATTTCAGATCCTTTTCGAAAAAATGAGATGTTTCCACGACTCAATCAATCATTGCCCCTTTAGAAACAAATATGACAAAACAGTTTGATACATTATTTGTTCTCATAATCATCATCTTCTTCTTCATTTTCTCTTATTTTTATTTGTCTTATTCTTTTTCTTTTTCTTCTTCTTCTTCTTCTTCTTCTTCGTCTTCTTCGTCTTCTTCTTCTTCTTCTTCGTCTTCTTCTTCTTCTTCTTCGTCTTCTTCTTCTTTTTCTGTTTTGTTCTTATTCTTATTCTTCTTCTTCTTCCTCTTCTTCTTCTATTATATAATTATATCTATTGGTTGTTGAATGGGGCGAACCCTTTGCTGACCAACCAGTGGAAAAAGCACATCTATGATCTGATTTTTCCTGGAGCGTCATCAAAGAAAGACAACAAGATCACAGTTTCTGCACAGACCATGATCTGTAGCAACCGTCTCAACGCGATCTTTCCCATGCACAAATTTGGGCCACCAACAGGGCAAAGATATTCTTGGCACAAACTAAAGTTCTTCCAGGGTCGAGACAACCAGTCAATCTCCTTCAATGAATTAATTTGAGAACAAACAACTGAAGTAAAACCATGTTTTTGTTGCCTCAACCAAGTCTTTGAAAGCAATGAATATTTTGTTGTTGCTAAAACATATTGGGGATTATAGCTCAATAAACAACATCTTCTGAATGGATTTCTTGGTCGCAGCGTCTCCACCTCAACCAGTTTGGCTCGCTTCGCCAGTTCCTGTCCCAGTTGGGGCTCATGCAACCCCATGTCCCCCAACATCGTTTGGGATGATGGTGACTGTGTCGACACCGGTCGAAATTGACATGCAATTGGGAAGATCAAGAAGAGCATCAGGAATATAACCATCTTTGGGTTTTAGGTTTAGGGTTTGGGGTTTGGATTTTCGGGTTTGGGGTTCAGGGTGTTCATGATGACGAACGAACGAAAGAAACGAACGAACTCAAGACCGATGATTTACCTATGACAAATGCTGTGAATTTCCAGCTCGCAAACTCAAAAAATTACCAGAAGCTATCCCATTAATATCCAGAACGGCCCCTCATGGGGGAGTGATTTTTGCTCTAAAAATGGTCAAAAATACTGGTATTTACAGTGTTTTGTGACCAAAGTGGGCTTAAAACCGTTATTTTAGAGCAAAAAATAGAGTTCACCTCCAAAGGCTCTCATATGCTGTCATAAATCACTGGCATTTACAGACTCTTGTGGCAGGATTCAATTTTTCCTGTGAGGCTTGCAAAGAACTACCAACAATCAGCACATAACAGAAAACATCTGCTGCACAACATGCCATAAGAATGGGTAGCTGCACATCTTGGAACAGAATATACAGTAGCAATAGGTGACTAGTGTGATGGAGGTGCTAAAAGCAATTGATATGATATAGGTGTTTCTTCATGAACTTGTTAGATTGATATCATCTTAACATATATATATATATTGTATATAGAAGCATTTGCGCTACATAAGAAGTATGGTGGGAAGGACATACATTATATAGGTGGATATAACACAAGCACATCTAACACTCTGGATAAGAAGGATGGTGGGAATGTTACAATTCAAGAAGTAGGTACATATCTCGTTTATCATTGTTATCTTGCAGAGTCTTGTCAGCAGTCTCATTTCAATAGTTAGACAGAGAGACAGAGAGAAAGCCTAAGAGACAAAGACGTGTGTCAAGCTGTTGAATATTAAGGTCAGGCAACCTGTGTGGTGGCATAGCTATTCAAAGATAACGGTATGTTTGCTTCTTTGAAACATAAGTTTAAAATATGGCCAAGATCCAAACATACACAATCTAGAATCACCAAAACCTGCACAGGCATCAAAAAAACAAACAAACCAATAGATGCACCAAACCTGCACAAGCACCAAAAAAACAAAAAAAAACAAACCACTAGATGCACCAAACCTGCAAAAGAGAAAAAAAACTAAAATTTCCAGGAACTATGGTCCACTTCTGAGTAGTTGCTGGAATTTTTGGTTTTTGTTGGTTTTTTTGGTGTCTGTCAATGTTTTGTGAAGTCAGAGTCACCAAACCTGCACAGGCACCAAAAAAAACAAAAAAAAACAAACCACTAGATGCACCAAACCTGCACAGGCACCAAAAAAAAACAAAAAAACTAAAATTTCCAGGAACTATGGGTCCACTTCTGAGTAGTTGCTGGAATTTTTGGTTTTTTTGGTTTTTTTTGGTGCCTGTCGATGTTTGGTGCATCTAGTGGTTTGTTTTTTTTGGTTTTTTTGGTGCCTGTCAATGTTTTGTGAAGTCAGAGTCACCAAACCTGCACAGGCACCAAAAAAAACAAAAAAAACAAACCACTAGATGCACCAAACCTGCACAGGCACCAAAAAAAACAAAAAAACTAAAATTTCCAGGAACTATGGGTCCACTTCTGAGTAGTTGCTGGAATTTTTGTTTTTTTTGTTTTTTTTGGTGCCTGTCGATGTTTGGTGCATCTAGTGGTTTGTTTTTTTTGTTTTTTTTGGTGCCTGTCAATGTTTTGTGAAGTCAGAGTCACCAAACCTGCACAGGCACCAAAAAAAACAAAAAAACCAAACCACTAGATGCACCAAACCTGCACAGGCACCAAAAAAAACCAAAAAAACTAAAATTTCCAGGAACTATGGGTCCACTTCTGAGTAGTTGCTGGAATTTTTGTTTTTTTTGTTTTTTTTGGTGCCTGTCGATGTTTGGTGCATCTAGTGGTTTGTTTTTTTTGGTTTTTTTGGTGCCTGCCAATGTTTTTGTATATCTCATGTCAAGATCATGATGTAAAAAATGTGTTTTACTAGGGTTTTAGACCCTCCAAATGCATAAAACATCGGTATTTACAGTGTTTTATCATCATGTTTAATGAAAATTCACTCCCCCACGGGGTGCCGCCCTCTTAATATTTCCCCTTGAAAAAAATAACATTTATAGATGATTTCCCCATGAAAACCTCCATTTATAGATGATGTTCCAACTAAAATTTCCATCATTCATGATTTCCCTATTTTTTACCCTCCATTTTTTCAGGGGATTGTCCCATTCAAAACCACCATTTCCAAGGATTTCCCCTTGGAAAACCACCATTTTTGTTGGTCACAACTTGTGGCCCTGGACCTTGTCACTCCACGGCGGTTTGGTTTTGAAGTCGGACACCCATTGAGAGACCTCCCGCGGGGTCACCCCATGACATCCACCAAGCAGATTCCAAGGGGGATTCCAACCAGTGTTTTTTAATGTGAAGCAAAAAACAAACATGGATTCTATGGATTATCTATGGATGATATATATGATATCTATGGATTATCTTTATCTTGCCCCATCCAGAATGTTTTTTTTTCGGAATTCCCGTCCACCTTGAGTGTTCTTTTTGTAAACACCGGTGTATTCCTATCCTTTTGTCGGGTGATATGACAAGCATGACCATCCACTAAGATGGATGTATCAGTTCCCGCTTTGATTCCTGATGGATACTTATTTTTCATCGGGGTCCTTGGCCCTCTCCACCGAAGCGTCTTTACCCGCGTTGGTTTGGTGATTTCCACAATCTTCTTCCGCAAACGGCTTATTTGTTGCTCATATTTATCAATCAACCGAGATATCCTTACATTGCTCCTCTTATGCACACTTGTTCTTGTTCGAACACAGTCACACAAGTCATTCACCTTTGATTCTTCATGTCCGCGCCCTACACTCTGATTCCCGGAAAGAAGACAGGAGAAGATTTCAATCCGCATCAAAGACCCTTGATGATTCGTATCCCTCTTAACTCACCATCCCTACTTGCGGTTTGTAACCCGAAGTTACACCCATGTTTTGCTTAATATTCTCTAAACATGATGAGGATGAGGATCAGGATATGGATGAGGACGAGGATTTTGAGGATTTTGAGGATTATGAGGGTGAGGATGAGGATGATGATGATGATGATGATGATGACGACGACGCTGGCGGTCAAGTAAAGTTCAGCCAATACATGATGAGGCTTCAGCCCAAGAATTGCCGGAAAGAACCTTGTTCATCTCCTGCTCCCCCATGTCCTTCATGGTGTCCTGAAACAAGGCCATCCACCTGTGGGGCGATGGGCGTTGGTCATAGAAAACCACTCTGGGAATGGGAAAAAACAGATGCCACTTTTTTCATGAAGGAAAAACCCATGCCCGAACTTGTGAGAAAAGAAACTATGTAACTTGACCATTACATATATGATCTACTACTGAAAATCTACTGTATGTTGTACATATATAACAACTCAGGGCACTCCATTTCTCACCGCCAAGGCTTGCTACTGTATCATGGCCTCTCAGGCCTTGTCTCACACTAAGCAACTAACACGGTGGTGGCCCCCCGGTTATGCTTGTTGATTTATAACTCCCGTTCACCAGTTTGATATCTCCACCATAAGCCCAATCGTTAACCTCTAGATACTTCTAAATCAACTTAGCTATCATAAATCAACTATACATTCCCATTGATGCTGGTTAAACCCCCACTTTCTTGTGGAATAAAACCCGACCAAAACTGTGGATGCCGGGACGACCAGTCCCCAGTTCTGGGGCACCTCCTCTGAACGTGTTCACCACCCCTGCCAAGCTGGATCATGGCGGCCCTGGCGACAGGCCGATGGCTGCCTTTGGTGGATGACAAAAACTGACTCAGAAAGTGGTTGCATCCGACAATTCCCCATTTACAGATCGATGATTTTCCCACGAAACCTCCATTTTGAGGGATTTTTGAGGCGGCTACGTTTGTTGATATCCGAGGGGACTAGTTGGGATTTAACACCTGCGAAAATGGAACCAGGAAAATATGGGGATGATGTGAGATTCACCACAAAAAATTATCCATTTTGAGAGGTGACTATAGGTCAAAACCCTGGTGCCTTTCTGGCCCAAATGGCTGGGAGTTAGAGATGTTTATCTCCAAGAATATAGTGCGATCGGTTTTGACCCATCCGCAGGTTGATAAGTCTGACATATTCTGACCAATACCTTAGGGAGTAAAACGTACAGTAGCAAAACCATCTTCCTCCAGAGGCTTCCACACATTATCCATCCGACGGCATGACAACACTCGGCCTTGGCCCCCAGCAATTTTCCCAGCGCGCGGCGCCTGAATCGATCTTTCCAATGCTTCGGTTCGTTGTTCATGGACCTGCCGGTTCCGATGGTCTCCATGCAGAAAAAACTTACCCTGGGTCTCCCCAGCTCCAGTGGTTTGAAACCTGATTTTCCTCCAGGGTAAACATGGGTAAACTGTTCCAAAAGGAGGTGGAAAAGCCATGGTTTCCTCGGAAAATGACAACTCCCAGGCGGAAAAGCCTCTGAACCGATTTCATCATGTCTTTGTACAGCTCAGACCAACCTCAGAAAGTCCAGCGTTCAATGGCCAATTCAGGTACTGATTTATTGGAGGTCCCTACCATAAGGCCTATGGCCTATGTAAGGGCTATGTAAGGGGATATACCCACTAAATATGGATTCAGATGGTACAGTGTCTCCATTTTAGGGTCCTGAAATTTCCATTGATTGGTGAAAACCTGCGTTTCCTGTATGGTTTCCCTCAAACCGATCAAGCCAGTCCCTCTTTTCGCTAGGAAGAAATCATTGCCAATCTAGATACCCTAGAATTCAGGTTGTTGTGTTCTAATATAGTTGATTGCTATAGGCTATATTCCCCCATCGACGTACTGAACCATCTTGGATATGTGGTCCATCTTCAGCTATGTTTGCCTCTGGAGTACCGGATGTACCCATTTCTATTGGTGTCAAATGTCTGCAAATGAGCAAGACGGAACTCATTTCGTGCTTTAGATGGAATGCCGCAAAAATTACGTTGCCTCAAAACTGTCCGCGCTTGGGTTCCAAATGTGAATGCATCTGTGCTGCAAACCAAATTCGGAGTGCTGTACTGCTATGTACTGTAATACCAATTGCATCACGACTCTGCCATATCAGATTGCAATAATCTATTTCATTCTCGCTTTATCACTCAGAATCAATTGGAGAGCCAGTGTAAATCTGCTCATTGACCAAAAGTCTCAGCTCTGGTGCCAACACTGTATATCGTCACCGTGACACATGCTCAACTGTTTTTCCTCAAATCTCAGGGTTTGATGTCTCATAGCAAGTCCAAACCCCCACCTTCAACAATCTATACTGGTTGTGTGTGTGTGTGCGCGCGCTTGGTTTGTCACTCAGAATCAATTGGAGAGCCAGTGTAAATCTGCTCATTGACCAAAAGTCTCAGCTCTGGTGCCAACACTGTTTTTCGTCACCGTGACACATGCTCAACTGTTTTTCTCAAATCTCAGGGTTTGATGTCTCATAGCAAGTTCAAACCCCCACTTTCACAATCTATACTGCTTGTGTGTGTGTGCGCACTTGGTTTGTCACTCAGAATCAATTGGAGAGCCAGTGTAAATCTGCTCATTGACCAAAAGTCTCAGCTCTGGTGCCAACACTGTTTTTCGTCACCGTGACACATGCTCAACTGTTTTTCCTCAAATCTCAGGGTTTGATGTCTCATAGCAAGTCCAAACCCCCACCTTCAACAATCTATACTGGTTGTGTGTGTGTGTGTGCGCGCGCTTGGTTTGTCACTCAGAATCAATTGGAGAGCCAGTGTAAATCTGCTCATTGACCAAAAGTCTCAGCTCTGGTGCCAACACTGTTTTTCGTCACCGTGACACATGCTCAACTGTTTTTTCAAATCTCAGGGTTTCATGTCTCATAGCAAGTTCAAACCTCCGCCTTCAACAATCTATACTGGTTGCGTGTGCGTGCGCGCTTGGTTTGTCACTCAGAATCAATTGGAGAGCCAGTGTAAATCTGCTCATTGACCAAAAGTCTCAGCTCTGGTGCCAACACTGTTTATCGTCGCCGTGACACATGCTCAACTGTTTATTAACAAATCTCAGGGTTTGATGTCTCATAGCAAGTCCAAACCCCCACTTTCACAATCTATACTGGTTGTGTGTGTGTGTGCGTGCGCGCTTGGTTTGTCACTCAGAATCAATTGGAGAGCCAGTGTAAATCTGCTCATTGACCAAAAGTCTCAGCTCTGGTGCCAACACTGTTTTTCGTCACCGTGACACATGCTCAACTGTTTTTTCAAATCTCAGGGTTTGATGTCTCATAGCAAGTTCAAACCCCCACTTTCACAATCTATACTGCTTGTGTGTGTGCGCGTGCGCGCTTGGTTTGTCACTCAGAATCAATTGGAGAGCCAGTGTAAATCTGCTCATTGACCAAAAGTCTCAGCTCTGGTGCCAACACTGTTTATCGTCACCGTGACACATGCTCAACTGTTCTTTCTCAAATCTCAGGGTTTGATGTCTCATAGCAAGTTCAAACCCCCACTTTCACAATCTATACTGCTTGTGTGTGTGCGTGCGCGCTTGGTTTTTCACTCAGAATCAATTGGAGAGCCAGTGTAAATCTGCTCATTGACCAAAAGTCTCAGCTCTGGTGCCAACACTGTTTATCGTCACCGTGACACATGCTCAACTGTTCTTTCTCAAATCTCAGGGTTTGATGTCTCATAGCAAGTTCAAACCCCCACTTTCACAATCTATACTGCTTGTGTGTGTGCGTGCGCGCTTGGTTTGTCACTCAGAATCAATTGGAGAGCCAGTGTAAATCTGCTCATTGACCAAAAGTCTCAGCTCTGGTGCCAACACTGTTTTTCGTCACCGTGACACATGCTCAACTGTTTTTCCTCAAATCTCAGGGTTTGATGTCTCATAGCAAGTCCAAACCCCCACCTTCAACAATCTATACTGGTTGTGTGTGTGTGCGCGCGCGCTTGGTTTGTCACTCAGAATCAATTGGAGAGCCAGTGTAAATCTGCTCATTGACCAAAAGTCTCAGCTCTGGTGCCAACACTGTTTTTCGTCACCGTGACACATGCTCAACTGTTTCTTCTGATGAGTTTGGATTCAGGATGCGGAAACTCCGAGCTATGACCTTTGCTGAATCGGCTCAGATTTTTGAATCGGCTCACGGAAAGAAAATGGCTTCAGCACAATAGTGTCCTACTGGGAATAATCTTGCCCGGAATACCGTTTGTCATCACCAACTGGTTGGAAAGAACATCTATCGTCACCCTCGCTCCACCCAAACCCAGTCTCACTTGGATGTGTTTTTCCTGTTGGTCTGTGGTAAAGAACCATTTCAGCTTGCGCAGTTTCAATGGAATATATTCGAGTTTAAATGACTTCTCATATGAATCATTTCATAACCGATAGCAACCCCAAAATGATCGTAAGTTATAGAAATCATTGCTAGAATAGTGACAAGTCTAATGACCCAAAGACAACCTCCATTTCATAAACCATGTTTTTTGTGAAATCTGCCATGGGGGGTGCTTTTTTTTTGCCATGGGATGTTGCTATACTCCATGCATCTCCATGGGTAGCATCCTCTGGGTTCCAGGGCGTTCAGAGATCCGTTCATCTTGCCGCCGTAAGAGCTCCTCGATCTCCTGACGAGCTGGCTACGTTGGCTACCCCTTTTATCATCCATAGATGGCAGTTCCACGAGAAAAACCATCCAGCTATTGGGGTACCCCCATTTCAGGAAATCCTGCACCAGTTGATAGGTGGTTTATCCCATTATTTATAGGGTTTCAACCATCCAAGGTGTTGCAGGATTTCTTCCATCAGGAAAAAAGGGAATTTCGCCAACAACGCTTGGTGGCGATTGGGTGCGTCAAATCAGCCAGTCAAATCAGCCACCGAAATGCCACAGCAGTGCGCTGCAAACTGCGCTGCAAAGCTAAAGCATCAATATACATCCTGAAAGGCGGACCGAAGGCGGGTTGTACTAAAAAGTTCTGCACTTTGCACATGACTGGATTCAGACACTGGAGTGCCAGTGTGGTGGGTATGTCCAGTTGAGAAAACATAGGGTTATCAGTTTATCTGATAAACAGTTGAGAGATCGTGGTGAAATCTCATACCTCACACATCCAAAAACACGCCCCCAGCATCCCCCAGCATCCAAAGTCTATTGTTTTGCAAATACTTTGGTCGCTTTGGTTGAAGCCTTCAAAAAAAGAAACTAAGCAGACTAATGCGGAGAAAAACCTTCTGGAAGTCATAACCGATGTCTGGACCTCGGCGTTTTGCAGCGATCAGCCAGTTGGACAAGGGCAATATTTGAACTTCTTTGAACAATCACGGATGGTTGGGGATGAGCAACTTGAAGGACTTTCCATAAGCGTGTAGAGTCCAGCAATGAAGCGGCATTTTTGCATTTTCAACGGTTTCCCAGAATAAGTTGTTTGTGAATTTCACAGTGTGTAAACCCCAAAACCAGCCAGCGCTGAAGCAGTAGGATGCGATGGTCTTCACCCTGTCATCATTGATGCATTGTTCCAAGTGCAAATTAAGCAAAACACGTTGGACAACTTAAGCACAAGATCTGGTAATAAGAACTCAACTGCCACACCTATCGTTTTTTTTTGAACTCGAACTTCAAGTCACGCTTTTGGCACTGTACATTGACAGGACAATTCGGACAATGGTCTTTTCCTCATTTAAAGACCGCATCAACCCACAAAATCTGGGGATCCGGGCAGTGAGAAGAGATGTTCACGAGGCGACCGGTCCAACAGCCATACCCCTCATTCACCCAACACCCAACCCCCAACCCCCAACCCCCAACCCAACAAACATCAATCGTAAAGAATAAGAATTGAACACCAACATAGAAACCGTCACAACCAGAACCCCCGCTTCACACTGTCCCGCAAGCTCTTGTGGGTTCAAACCACTTTCTGAGTTGCCATTTTGGCAGGGCAAAAAATTACCAGATCACCTGTTCATGGGTTGAAACCCATTCTGGCAAGTTAAAATCCACATCTTTCTAGGTCTTGCATGAAATCCAAATTTTGGTAGCCAAAAAAATCGCGTGCTTTTTGGGTACCCCTTTGGTATCTTAGAAATCCCAATCTTAGTTGATGAATTGCTGGTGAAATCGACATGTTTGCTGCTTTTGTCGCACCAATTTTCATAGATCCAATGGGGAAAAAGTGGCAATGCTTCTCCGTCTCCTCGTTGATCTTCTCGGGGCTCACGACCTACAAAAAATGGAGGAATTTGAGCTGCAAAAATGTGGAAAAATCGCCAGATGAAATTTGGTGATTTCTGAAACACATGTCATGACGTCGCGACCTGAGGTCACCTATAATTTTCATCTACCCTGAACATCAGATATTGAATAATTGCAATCAATAGAATCAGTATTTTGAGGGGAAAAAAAAACATGAAAAGTTTCAAAAGTGATGATTTTGCAAAAATCTGGTATGCCCAATAATAGCCCTCTGTAAGGGATGGTTTATGGCATGGGGTTTACCACATTATTGAAATACACATGGTCTACATGGTATTTTGTGGAACCCCAAGTATCTACTAAACAGGGTATGTTGAAAAAAAACTGAAAAAACCGGTTCAATATTTCTTTAAAGGATTAGCAGTTGATAAAGGGTCTTTGGAAATTGATTCTTGGGTCCTTGGCTATTTACTTGGTGAGTGGCTTTAGGAAATATTCAAAAAATATTGCACTTCAGCACTTGCGCTACTTATAAGCTAACTTATAAAATTAAGAAAATGATGTTTTTTTTATTTTAAAGGCTGAAGTCTTGAAGTCCAACTTACACACGTAATATAAGTTTCAAGGAGCAGTACTTTTTCATTTTTATTGTGACAGTCAAAAAAACGGACAATGTGAATTTACGTTTCGAAACATTTGACATTGCTAGTTGGTGGCTCCATGAACCGCGCAGAAGAGAAATAAGATCATGCTGCATAACACATATGAACAGTCATTACTGATACTAAGTTGTGAACCGGACTGCAACATCCCAAGGAATTAGTTGCATTTTTCTAACGCCATCCATTCAATATCAAGACCATGATATATGCATATTGAGTAAACCCTAAACCTCAGTATTTTGTACATCCCCAACTCCTCCAAACGCTCCAAACGGCACCTGTCGTTGCTCAACCTGCCCGTTCTCTGCGCGGAACTCGCGCCACTTCTCCGCGAAGCGTCGGCCTAGCTCCTGGAATGGAAATACGGGCTAGCGTTTTTTTACTTTCTAAACCCTAAAACCCTAAAAGTCTAAAAACCTAAACCCTAAATTAAAACCAGAAGTCCTAAAAACCTAAAGTATCCTAAAGTCAAAATCGCTGCGTATAGCCAGTGTTTTCATTCATCCTCTGATGACAACTATATGATCTCGTTTGGGTGTGGGCGAACGTGGGGTTTGGCGCCAACATGTAAAAGAACCCATCCAAAATGATGGAAACATCTGGACTACCAAAAGAAATAGTGGGGATTCCACCATCAAAAATGGTGATTTACCCCATCCGAGAGAGTCATTGATGGAGCCCCCATTTTTGCGATATTTTGATCATGGCACATATGGCAGTTGTGTGAAGTTCAGCGGAAAGAATAGCATAGAAACCTCCATGGTTGGAGGGTTTGACCTTATCCCATCTCAGGCCTCTCTTCTAGCAGCAGCCTGGGACATGGCTTTCACACGGGTTTGTTCGGAAATGAGGTATCTGGATGCATCTGGAAGATCCGCTAGTTTCAAACCTCATGTTCCCCAATTCAAATGCCATTCTTTTGGGGTATACCCCTGTGCCTATCATAATTTTGAGAATTAAAACACCATTTTTCTCGGGTCCATAGCCTATCTGGACAGACCCACCTCCTGTTTCACCTCCGTAAACTTTTGGACCCAGATCTCTCCGTCCTGCCATTGGAGGCGCTAAAAGAACATCGAGCACTCTGCAAAGCGCTGCGCCCTTTGCGCCTCCTTTCGCTGGTTGGCGCTGGCGTGCCGGGTGGCCTCTAATTTGGCCTTCCATTTCTCTGCCTTGCCAGGTGAGAATAAGCTCCTCGCTGATCAACACGTATCATCCATTACATATCAATCATATCATCAATGAATATCAATAAAAACTCAACTGACATTACTAAGTTACTGATATGCATGCAAATTTCATCAACATGTATTTTGTATATTTGGCTTTGGGTGAAGTGTATTACGTTAGTTTGAACACTTCTGGGTATGGGTCAAAATTGGGCTACCCCATCAGTCGGATGAACTCTAGTCATTGATGATAACATGAGGTTTGTCTGGAAAATTGGCTACCCCATTCCATCCAATGCTGTATCATGATCTTCCCTTCAGAATGGTGATGTTTGGGGGAACTGGTAGCAGACCTGCAGACTCCAACATGTTGTTCAGAGATACCCTGCCATTCTCTGCTTGGAACTGCTGCGGACCTGCTGACGACCCAACTGCTTTTGGTTGTCTTGAAAGCGGTGGACCGCGTTCCACGCCGTGGTCATTTCCTGCCATCTTCCAAGACCCCAACCGAGAAATGCTGTGCCACATGGAGCCACAAATGGCTTGTCTCTACAACTATCCGCTCAGCCATTCAAGTTTCGGCTTCCAAACTTCCAGACTACTCAATTCCACATGGCGATGGGACGAAATTCGACGGATCTTTCTTTAAATCGAATGGTTTTTTCTGTTCCATGTCTGGATTCCCCTTGTGTTGACCCAAGATGACCCAGATCCACACGGATCCACAGAGCAGACGAAACGGGGACCTGCTGCACGTCCCTCTTCAGACTTTCTCGCGCCTCCTGAGGACTCCCATGCTGACAATTCGCAGAAAACTTCTGAGTTTTTCCATATCCTCCTGTAAACCTACATAGATGTGGAAAAGCCATGATTTGTAGATCATTTTCCTTGCATGGTTGTTCCACATCTATGTTTGTTAGTTTACCCCAGAGTAATCTATATTATATATATAATATATATGTTAATTTATTGGAAGTGGAGAGTATCTGCAAAATACTGTGTCAAAATGGTGAACCCAATCGAAAACCATGCCGTTTCGTTGCATTTGGATTGAACCCAATCGAAAACCATGCCGATTTGTTGCATTTGGATTGAACCCAATGCCGATTTGTTGCTTTTGGATCATGTGCAGGTTCGTATAAACCTTCGCAAAGAACTCGGGATATGACTGTGGGCCTTACCACATTAGATCTCATCAGGATATGTATGATATGACTGTGTCCAGTAGGGCACCCAAAATTCACCTTTTCTAAACCGCTGGATTGACGGTATAACCCAAAGTTCGGACAAAATCAGCAATGGAAGATAAACTCTTCTTAAGCCATATCAACTTAACTAATGAAATCAGATCTGTATGCAAAACCATCTACCCTCCGGACTCAAACATGGTTTGTTGAAAAATTCCCCACTTAGTTCTATGATTTTCCCATGAAAATCTCGATTTAGTTCGAAGATTTCCTAGCCGTGTTTGATATCAGACTTTATCCCTGCAGGCTGCATCCTTCACGCCCTTCCACCACATTTTCTTCCTTCGTGCCTTAAGATGGGGGCACCCTGCTGGTCAAAGGGGGAGTTCTCCAACAAAAAAAATGCGCATGTGTCCGGTAGAAACTGGGATCCAAAATTGAGATTTCAACAACTACAGTAGGAGTTATTCAGACATTTCTTGGAAATACTGAGGCAGCCAACCAGCCAAAACGAGGATTTGGGTTTGAGTCAAGCCGTTAGCTTCCTTCAAAATGGGCTGGTGTTCGTACCCAAAATGACCAAAATCTGTGGATCCCAAAACTCTTCGATTTTGACCAATACCAATGGAAGCTCCTTTGAATCAAAAATGAGTCTTAAGACCCCATCACCTTGCAGATCCAACATTGACGTGCTACCTGTCTTTCCTCAGCTTCTTTCACTGCCTGTGTCGCTTGGAAACTCAAAGATTCCACGGTTCACCATGAAGAATTGCGATGCGTATGGATGTGTCTACCAAAATTGGTGCCTCTACAAACAATCACATGAATCTTGCTGATCATAGGTGATGTGAGCACACCGCAAATCATATCCTGATAAACCAACCTGGTTACTTTTCGTTGGTGCTTTGAGATTTCGCTCAAACCAGGTTGAATGACCACTTTGCCAGCACACTCTCCCAGAATCAAACTCGAAACCTTTTTCCGCACTGCCAAACCCCGCACAAGCTGCGGAGCCATCCCCGCAGTCTACCCGCAGCAGTTAAGCATCATTGGCTCCCGCTGAGATCTCTAACCTTCGAGATGTACTTCGCGGGGACCGTTCCATTGATCCCGGGCGACAAGATCACCTCGTTGGCACTCTGGAAGAAGGGCACGCCCTCCTGAGGGACAGATTTCGGCTGAAACTTGGTGAGTTGATCCAAGTTGTGTTTGACTGGGGATATACAGAACAGTAAATGGTCAAGTCATCTAATCCAAGCGAAAACTGAGAAGCTCCAAGGCCACAAGACAGGAAATGTGCCCTGGCTGGATCACATCTCCACGTTGTTTTTTGCATTGTTGCTTAATTAGGGGGGTTCACACACCCGTGCAGCAAACGCACCCGAATGGCCGTGGGCAAATCGATGTAGATGGCCACCTGTCGCAGACCAAATCCCTAGTTGATCCATTAATGGGATCACCTACTGAATGGGGACTTACAATCACCAGTGGGAGGACCCCCCAAGGATTCAGTGATGTTCCTTTCGGGATTGAAAAGGGTCTGGAATGAGTCTAGTTGGTACAGTACCATCATGTAATGTGGTAAACCCAATAATAAATCATCCCTAATATTCCCTTAGATGGGTGGTAAACACCAGTAAACACCATCCCCAAATAGTAGGCTTGTGGCATTAGGTTTACCACATTACTATCTACCTGTCAGTCCTTCAATCACCAGCGGACAAGAGCTGCCGAGCGCACCTCGCAGTTGTAGCCTGGGCGCATTCGAATTTTGGGGCATCCCAGGCTACATCCGGTTTATCCATCAATGTTCCATGACTCTCTCCCACTGAAAAATGTGAAAAAAAAGCGCCATTTTTTTCAGGGTCCCATTTTTGGACAAACCCCAGACCCTGGGGCAGACCAATCTAGACCCGGCAGTGATCCCTTCCTACGAGTACCCAACATGCTATAAATGACCCAAAAGCGAAACATCCCATGGGATCGTCTACTGCCAAAAAGCACTACATCAGTAATGTCAAAAACGCAAAAAAATGCCTGACACTCAGTTGGCAATTAAAACCTGATTAGAAAAAATCATCCATACTAAATCCAATTTATCAACTACATCTCCATACTGTTGTTAATGAAAACCCCTGTCAAAGATGATTAAATCCCCATGAAATAACCAATCAACATCAATCAACAAACAATTTCAATAATACCTAAAAACACCCATAAATATCCATAAATTCCCCATGAAATGAGGCTTCACCATGAAAAATCCCTATTGAAATCACCAAAAAATCCAACATCATGATTTCTTGCAACTAACACCAAAATCATTGATGAACCTCGAAGCCCCAAATTTATATCATCTGACTATCAGTCCCAAAAAAATCTCACATCCCTATGGCTTCCCCAAAATGGTAGATCTTCGTCGATTTCCCATTGGGAAAATGCCGAGAGGCGCATCCCAGAGATCACACGCCCATCGTGTGGCTCGTAGGGCGCGAAGTGCACGTGATTGCGCTGCGACACGCCGCCACCCACCAGGAGACCGTTCCTGAAGAAACGGGCCACCGGGGTCGCGAAGAAATTGGGGATTTAAGCCTCAACAATGATGATTTAAGCAAAAATGAAGAAAATGGTGAGGTTTCAATAGGACAATCTGTGGAATTAGTGATTGAACCATCAAAAATGAGTAAAAAAGCGAGAACTTAACTTGATTTAACCAACAAGAATCAGAATTGTGACAGATTTATGATAGCCAAGTGGACATTTAAGCAGGAATAATGAGAATGTGCATTCGGAATGTGTGGCTGTTTCTTCAACGGAAATAAATCCAAATAACCTACTGTTTCATGGGCTATATTCATCTTGTTTTTAGGTAGTCAAACGCCATATTTGGGGGTCAAAAATTTGCAGATATTCTGAAACAACGCCAAGCCATCAAACCATCAAACCCAGAACCAACATGTTTTTTTTCGAAAATATTGGTTTATCTTCCTCAAGAAAGAACCAAATCACTGGCTGTTTTACCAAGAAAAGAAAACCAACTCACTGGTGTCGTCCATCAGTTGATCCCCCTGTGGTGATTTCCCCATGGCCAGCACAGCCGGATCCACCGTTGATCCTGCCTCTGGATGGAGTCCACATTTCGCCTGTAAGTGCCATGCACACAGACCTGGGCGTTGCTGAAGATCCACTGAGTTCCATTTTTCTTGAATGGAATGGAAATTGGATGAGGCTATGATTGGGCGCATTCATGAAGAAAAAATGGTGATGTCCCGCTTGGAAAGCTTTTGAAATCAGAAGGAATGCTTGCTGTGCGCCAATCTGACTCTGCACCATGGGAAAATCTGGCGGCTGCTCCTGTGCACCATGTGCTATGCAGATTCCAAACTGCTATTAAACGTATATCCACGGGTTTTTGCACATACCTGCATATAAATATATATATATATATATAATCACATTAGATCATGGCATAAGCAAGCTCCCACCCTTTTGTTCGACTGCGCCATCAACCCCATTCAACTGGCACCTTGGGAAGGTGTGGGTCGTCGGCATTCAAGCGCTTCAAAAGGCTGTTGTCATCCACGGTCTGTCGCAGTTTCAGAATTGCCCCGAAAAATGTGGGGAGAGTCAATCCATTGAAAACAGGAAATTTACCCTCTGGTAATTTAACATAGCTATTGAAAATGGTGATTTATAGTGGATTTTCCCATTGAAAATGGTGATTTTCCATAGCTATGTTGGTTTACCAGAGGGTATACCCATTGGATGTTGGAGGATTGCCATGGATTGCCATTGTGGGATGGATGGACTATGATGGACCACCAAAAAAAAAGACACAAGCATGGGCCCTTCCCTCCACCCGGAAGGCCTTCATGGAATGTCCTTGAACCGCTCGGATCAACACCTGCACCGACCATCGATTCATGACCCTCCCATTCACAATCTGACTTCTCTATCCCCCATTTACCAAGCAGCCCATTCAGTTCGGAAATGTTCAACTATCTTTACCAGGTATATATCCCGCTTCAGCCTTACCACCATCTGTTGACAGCTGCCTTGTCGGCTTCTATCTTCGTCTCAAAGCGTTTCTTGTCGTTGCTTTGCACCGCCACCTGCGTCGGCCATCGAATCGACGCTGTTCAGTTGGCCATGGTCCCATGGTCGGTCACTCTGAATTCTCCTGTTTACGCTTAGTGAGATGCTACATTCCACTATAGATGTATTTAGATATGCAAAAAATGTATATCCATTATATCCTCTATTTGTAAACTCAAACTGGCCTATTTACATCCAATATCCACCAACCAAAATTGGGAAATCAAAGTGCAAATGACATCTTCCCCAGACATCGGAGGACGGGGAGAACCTGCCTGAACGTCTTCCGCTGTCGCACCCATGGTGGTGAATTCATTCAGCGCCAAAATGTCCTTCCGGTCGTTTCGGAAACTCGGAAAAATAGATTAAATAGATCCTCAAAAATCTACTCTCATGATCTTTTCATGCTGGAGTTTCCATATGTAAATCTTACTGGAGAACAAAAAATCATTGTAAAGTGCTGGTGTTTCCCCCATCTTTCCACCCCTATGGCTTCACCACTACGTCCTGCAGCTGGCAGAAGCCATCAGCCCGGATTTGGAGTCCCAAGCTTTGTGCCGTGTGGCGCAGGATTCGCGCCAGGGCCTGGCTGTTTTTTGTGGGAAAAACATGGAAATTCCATGGCTGTTTTGATCGACTTTCATGGTCAGTTGTCCATATCTGATACTTGTTTTCATTGGATGGTCGATGTTTCTTCTGGGTGCTGCTTCATCAATTTTCGAATGAATATGAGTGAATTTGTTGAATACTTGCTGAATCTTGTTGAGTTAGTTCCAAGTGCTCATCACATGAACAGCGACAGCTTAGAATGATAAACCCCAAACACAACGGATGAGTCATCTAAGAAAACCCTAGACCAGTTTGAAGCCATACCGCAATAACCATATATCCAGAATCTCCAGGCGTGGTTTTCGTGGAATATGATTTCCAGAATCCACGATCCAAATGCGTTTGCCCCATTCTTTCTTGCTCCAAAAAAAGGATTTTATGATCGGGCTGCGTTGGAAGACTGAAACTCAACCAGAGAATCTCCTTCGCAAAGAAACAAAATGCAGCCAACCAATGCAGTTCCCCTTGAATCTGCCTGATAATATGTTTGCTTGAATGTATATTAACCAGTTCATCCATGAATGGATGAACATGGGAACATATGTTAAGCAACCATACTAAACAATGGTTAATTTCTGATTGCTTCAACCCGGCCACTGCTTTCTGGCCTTCGAAATCTGAAAGTTGCGGCCTTTATTGCCCTTGCCACCACCCTTGCCCTGACGCTGCTGAGTGGGACCTGACCCTTCTAAAGGTGCTTCAAGTTGGATAGTCCACTCCAAAACATGGCAATGTTTTAATGCTAATTTCGGGACTATTGATGGTGGCTTTCACCAAACGATAAGTATGATAAGTATGGAAGCAACAGGCATGGATATGCAACACAGATTGAGCTCCAACCAGGAATTGGGCATGTTGGTCTGGCTACGATTTACATCCAAGTTGGATGATCTGAATCTAGATATGTCGTTGGAGCCAGCCATACCCAAGTCATTCCAAGTCATTCCAAGTCGTTCAAAAATAGCCTGGACAAAACCCTTTGATACAAGTCACATTGTCGGAAAGTGCACGAGACATATTGCTGGGTGAGATGAACCGTCCCAAAGGGAGGTGAAAAGGGACTCCAACCCAAGACTCAGGCGGGCATGGACAAAAGCCCTCTGGTATCTTCGTTTTCAATTCACAATAGGGTGGTGGTTACGGCTCTTCATCCCCCCGTCCGGAAAATCATAGGCTTTGACCTCAAGTTCCACACATAAATTGAGTCGCTGGCCGGCCTTCTGCTCTGTTCGCATGGGCGCCAAGTTCGAGGCAAGTGCAGCAGGCATCGAAGCAGGCGCCTTGTCATTAGCAATGATGTCCGACTCATGCAAAATGAAGTATAATTACGTCCTATTTTCACAGCACCCAGCAGATCACCAAGAGGATGGTTCCACTACCCTTGGTGCTAATGGGGCTCCGGGCCGCACCCTCGCGGCCACTTTGTGCCGGAGCAGCTTCATGCCTGGCAAAACCGCAAATGCAGGCCCAAACCCCAATGCTTGACAAGAAGCAACTGGGGATTGCCAAAAAAAGGAGATGCCACAAGACTTACAGCTTCATTTGGTGGATTATGATGATTCATCATCAAATTTAGGGGTAACCTATTTTAGAATGTTGCATTTCTTGATGTCCTAAGGTACTGAAGCCTTGGCTCTCCACCTTGGAATCAGGGTCTGAGGCCCTATACTATAGGTCTCAGAGATTTGCATGAATCTGAACCTTCCCAAACCAATAAAAAATACCAGTGATTCTCTCCAAGGCTTCTGGCACTTCCTCCAAGAAACAGCTCCCCAGGTGGCACCTGGCTCTCTTTTTATCGCTGGGACTCCTGGAAGGTGGGTAGGGAAACTATGAGAGGCTAGGAAGGTCGACACCAGGTGGGACCTTTGATGGGAGAACAGGCCATCCCACGGTGATTTGTGGAAATTGACCCCGAAAACTCCAACTGTTCTACCTTTGAACAAACCAGCTACCCGGAGCTACCCTGTGGCTGCCAGGTCTCTGAAACCGAGTCAGCCCCAGATCTCCCCAGCCGCAGCCTGGACCTCCGCCTCTGCGACCGAGACCGGGACCGACGCCGCGACTTCCGGGACCGGGACCGGCGCCGCGACTTCCGGGACCGGGACCGGCGCCGCGACTTCCGGGACCGGGACCGGCGGCCCTTGGAAGCGGCGCGCTTCTTAGTCTCTTTTTCGGGACTCTTTTCGGTCCTGAAAATCCGAGAGCCCAGGATCTCAAAAGGGGACAGAAACTCACTGACGGGCTCGAGTCCAGGATTTGTTTTTGGCTCATTAGGAGTCAAGACACATGGCATGGCCAAGTTGAAATTTCATGGGGTTCTCTTAAGCCCTGCACATACAGTCAATATCAAGTATATATCCTACAACATAGCAGAACTTCAAGACACATCTTGATTCCTGGATTGCTAACCTCCATCACAGCCTTTTTAAGAGGACCCTGGCCTGGAGCAAATCTTAGATTTCCACATTGGCCTGTCCTGGCACGTTCGCCGTTCTTGCCACTTTTGCTGCGGCTGCGTTTCTTTCCCTCCTTCGGCTTTGTGGTACTTCGACTTCGCGAGTTCGTCCGCTGTTTCGGAGGTGAAGGTCTCCTCAGTTCGCGGCTGGGCATTTTGAGGTTTCCCAGGAATTCAAGCTATGCAGATACCTGGCTCAAAAATTGGGGGATTGAACAGATCAAAAGTTTGTTCATTTTGAGTGTTGAACCATCCGATTTGGGCCAAAGGAGCGTGGCGTCCAAGGGGTGCATTTAGGACCAATTTCTATCCACATCTACTAGTCTACATATATACATATATTATTTATATATATATGTGTGTGTGTTTTTATTATATTATATTATATTTTAGTATATTATATTATATCATATTATATTATATTATATTATACCATACTATACTATATTATAATTAAATTATATTATATTATATTATATATTATGTTATGTTATATTATATATATTAAATATTATTTTGTATTATATTATGTTATACTATTAATTATATTATATATTATATTATATATTATATTATATATATTGTTATATTATGTTATATTATATATATTATATATTATATTATATATATATATATATATATATTATATTATATTAAATTGTATTACAATAAATTGTATTATATTATATTACATTATACTGTATATATATATATAGTGTATTATATTATACATATACTATATATAAAAATATTTATATCCTATTATATATATATGTATATACATATTCTATTATATATATATTATATTATATATATTCTATTATATATATTCTATTGTATATATTCTATTATATATATTCGTTGTACTATATAGATATATATATATATATTATTATTATCATATATATATATATCTACTATTAGATATATATATATATAATAATAATGTATAATAATATATATATACATATTATCTATTATGAATTATATTATATATATATATGTATATATAATATTATACTAATATATATTTTATATTATAATTATTATATATAATATCATTTATATATATTATTATATATTGTAGATATTATAGTATTTATAAATGTATAAATAAATATTGGTATATGGAAATGTGTATACCTATCGATTCCACCATTAAACCTACAATGGAATAGATACAATCCAGTAGACCATTTCGAGCCAAGTCGCTGCGGCTGCGGAGGCTCCGGAGCCTTCGGTGGTGGTTCCACCTTCTTCAGATTCCTTGGCCAACGGAGTATTCGGGCAAAACGACATGAGTTTGAAGCAACAAACATGGGAGTCTAACAGCCAAACTTGGGGTTCAGGTGTGTTTCAAGCAGCAAACATGGTGGCAATCACCTGCTCAAGTGGGGGTCCACATTTGAGAGCTCTGACCTGCACATAGATTGGAGGCTAGATATATATATATATATATTATATATATTATATATACAGTATATTATATATATATATATTATATATATATATATTATATATTCATATAGAGAAACAAGGGGAAAAACAAGAAACCAAAACCAGTTAATCTCCCTTGCCTCAAAATCATGCAAACGCCCCTTTTTGCTATGGGACGCTTGAGCCAGGTAAATTACGTTAGGCTACTATGACCAACCCTGCTGGATTAAAGGAGGGGGTCAATTCCTAATCTATCTACATGGCTACACCTACAACTAACGCATCTAGTTGGAGGTTGCATGGTAAATACAATGACTGTACAATCTATTAGAGTGTTGGTGTCATAGCTATAGTGAGGAGTGAACTACTACTAGTATATACAGTGGTGGTATAGGGGTCGTAATATTTCTACTCCCCCCTACCCTATCCTACGCTGGCAACTAGTGTACAGGTTAGGGCGCTAGGAAGCTGCCCCTTCCCTGGATTTAAGCTCACTACCTAAATCTACTCGGATGCCAAGCAAGCGCAGTGCCGGGGCCCACTTTTGGGGTGGCAACGCCTTAGTAAAAATATCTGCGGCCTGACTGTCGGTCTGACAGTATTCGAGTTCGGCTGAGTCTTCGCGGAAGACGTCGGAAAGGCCAGATAAGTTTACCTTATGGGTGCGTGTGATGTGCCTAAGCTTAGGGGAATAACCTTTACGTACTACCAGGATGGTAGCTTGGTTATCTTCTAAAACTCTAAGCGTCACGGTGCGCCCTAGGAGAAGCTCCCAGAGTTGCAGGGCCGGCAGGCCTTCTTGATATAGGGAATAAGCCAAGGAAACCACCTCAGATTCTGTTGTAGAACGGGATGTGGATGTTTGGCGTTTGCTGACCCACGCAAGAGGGAAGAAGGAGTTAGGCCCATATAGAACTAAATACCCACCGGACGTGGATTTTCCACTAAGACGATCACCGGCGAAATCTGCGTCAACGTATAAACGTAACTCAAGATCTTCGGGATTGTCTTTGATGGTACCCACTAGACGGTATTGAGGTGTAGAGTCTATGTATTGGATGAGTCTTAACAACCTCTTATCGTCCCCCCTGGACCAAGACTGCACTTTAGTGGCTAAATCGTTGATGGGTTTTATTATATCAGGTCTGGACAGCCGACCAAGCCACAACGCCTTCATAAGAATGCGGCATGCATTGGGTGCCAATTCACCTTTAGCCTCTTCATCTTCAACAGAGACAGAACCATCAGGTACAAAAGGAGTGGCAGCATGCTTCAAACTTTTGGTGTTGGTGATGGACTTATAAAGATCAACTGTTTGTTGTGCATAATCTAGCATGTCAAAGACTAAGGCTTCTTGTGCGCGAAACGCAGCACATTCCTCGGAACCCTCGGTTTTGGGCAATGGCATTACTAGATGATTGCGACCTAAAATTCGGTATATTGGTTCAGGTGGTTCAATATCCACAACAGATGTCAGCTTTGCCCAGAAGGCATCATGTTGGTCAGTGGGACCAGCAAGCGTGAGATCATCTACATAGGTGGAAAGCAACAACTTAGTATCTGGGAAAAAGAAGTTACCAGGGTATTCAGGTACCTCTTGGCCACCTAGGTTGCGGATAATTTTCTTTAAGTGCTGCTCCCAAAGGCCACCGGCATCAGGATGACCATATAAGGCTTTAACTAGGAGGACTACAGGTTTAACAAACTTATCTCGCCAATGTTTTGGTCTCAGCTCAGGCGGGAGTTCTATCCAGGTCTTGTACTTTGAAGACAGGAGTGCTTGAACGTAAGCCTTTACAGCATCGGCTGCGGATGAGCTGTTGCCTGGCAGGGAGCCGTATGCCAAACAAGCATTCAAACCTTGGACCGAAGTCGGGTTTGCCCCTAGCTCCTGGTAGACCGCTGCAGCGCCATGTTCATCCTTTGCGCAGTCGCCCCTATAGACGATCCTGCCCTTCATCTTTTGCAGGTGCTGCGCAAGCTCGAAGAATTTAATGGACGCTATGGTCATGAGTTGCCCGAAATGAACGGACACTCCTGTGCGCTTGGCCTCGGCGCGTACATCTTCCTTTTCCCGAACGGAATCAAGTGACCACGTTCCCGCCTTGATGAGTCCATCGGCCTCGGCCTTCACAGCATCAAGGGCTTGGGGGTTTGATAACATCTCTGCCCTAGAAAGCAACTTAGTTACCATGGCTTGAACCTCTTTGGAAGGTTCATTGTTATCTTCATGCCCGAAGGCTTGTGATCTGGACACTCCTGTGCTGCAAGATCCTCAAAACCAGCTAGTGGGGACACGTGTTTGAGATGTTGCTCAACTTCGCGGTGCTCTTGGGGTTCGGTTGAAAGTGGAGCGCATGGCATTGCGGGAGCATGTTGTTGAGAACACTTAGCAGGGTACAGCGCTTGAGTAATCAAAAATGCCATCTCTGGGGGATACATAGCTGATCGCGCCGTTTCCGAATCCTGCTTTTCAAGGGTTGCTGATCAACACACTGCACAACTTTTTTATCTTTAAAAACATCTACTATTCTTTGGGAAGTGGTTCGGACTCTCCAAGGCTTTTTGATGGGAACACCCTTCTTGGACTTAAGACCTACTGCACAACCATCGAAATCAACTTCCATAAACTCAGGGTGAGAATTAAAGAAAGCTACGACATCTGGTCTCTTCCAGCCAGTTGAGGGACGTGGCCATTCAAAAGAAACAGTGCCTCCTAGTTTCAAAACTAATTCTGCCCTTTTGGAAAAGCTTTTGAAAAGTCGTTTCGATTCTCGGAGTTGGAGCGCTAATCTTTTCATGTAAGCAGCTCCTCCCTTCCGTCTATTGATATACTGCCAAGGTGAACCAGACGTGCATGGTATGGACGACCAAAGGTTAGGTGGTGCAACTTTTGAGGCTTCACCTATTTGATAATCAAGTTGGGAACATTGATTCTCATCACTTAAGTCTATCCTTTCCTTGCACAACCCAATGTGATTTATGTTACATTGCTCACTTGTCAACCCAAGCTGTGAGTTGAGGGAACATGCAAACTCAAACAGTGTTGATCTCTCATTGGATTTCTGGCTTTTCTTCAAGGCACGTCGTTTACGACGATTATTATTGTTCTTAGGAGGCTGATTAGCTGCGGGGCATGCAGGCACGGGCTGTGCACCGAACACTGGCAAGGAATCCCTACTTAGCTCAGCACGGCTGGGAGCGGTCTGGGGCAAAGTGGCAGCACCAGAGACACTATAAGGAACGGCTATTGTGATTTCACCTTCATCATCAAATATGCCATCTTCCGGTGGTGGTCCCACGGGGTCATCCTCAAGCGCACTGGGAACTTCGCTAGGAGGTTCAGCAACTACCGACTCTGATATGGGCTTTGACTTGGCTTCCAGCTCCTTTTCTTCATCAACTAGTTTCTGGAACCGTTTGCGGCACTCTGCATTATGGTACCGATTCTTATTCTTACACCCTGTACAACCGGGAGTCTCCTTAAACTTTATGATGCGGTCTAAGGTGATATAAACCGATCTAGGTTTGGGACCGGGTGTAGATGGAGAAGCTAAACCGCCGTCTGGTGGAAACGGAACATTTTGCAGGGCTATTTCAGGAAGTTTAACATCATCGGGATCATCCCCCCTGATTAAGGCCGGATGCTTCGAAAAACCGACGGGAAAATAGGCATCACCATCTGGAAGGTATAGTTCAGGCTCGGGTACATCGGAAACACATGAAGCACCTCTAGTTCGAAACTCTTGATAATCTAATATCCGAACAACATATCTATAACGAAAACCAGAATCGATTCGCCAACCAAGAAACAAACCAGGAGCCATATTGGGTTCTAAGGTCCTTTTTGTTGGATGCTTCTTGCGATAGTACACAAGTTGGCCAAAACACAAACGCTTACCATCAAACTTTTCACGTGTAAGAGCTTCCCATTGGGTCTTTTCAGGGTCCACAATAGAAGGTCTATCAAAAGTCATGGAAAGACATGCGTATGGGTAACTATAAGTGTGATACTCATAAGGCAAACCAGATTGTAAATGAACAACCCTGCAACACTCTTTCTCTTCCCGGATGTCGCGCTCTAGGAGAGCGTTGTGCGGCCAACGGTTGGGAAGGGAAGTCTCAGGAACGAAGCCGACCTGATGGGCAGCCTGCTCCAATTCCTGTGCTTCGTCCATTTTGATAAGAGTATGGGTTGCAAGTTCATTGGCTTTCAATCCCACGAAATGTCGAAAGTTTTTGGCATGTGATTCAACATCTCTTTTTGATAGGGGATATGCTATTCGTGCACCAGAATAAAGGTCCCTTACCACATGGTGTGTTTTAACCCCACCTATTCCCGTACCAAAGTGCTCAGACCCTTTTGCAAGGATAACATCATCAGTGGCCAATTGCTCAAAAGGTTGTTTTGGTGGATCAATCTTATCATCGGACTTACCATCCTTAACATGAGAGACCCGCATTGCAGTATCCTTAGCAATATGGCATAATGGGCAATATGGATTTTTGGGGTAGTGAGTCAAAAGATGCTCTAAGCTAGTGGCTTCCTTTTTCAAGACTTCATCTTTGATAGGGATACCATCACCTAACTCAACAAGCAACTTATCATCTAAAGGGTGCGGTGGCGCGCTAGGAGCAGCGCCTTCCGGTACACTTGCATGTGGGCTGCTGGATGCAGCTGCATCTTTTGGATCATCGGCCTCAGCAACTTCGTCAAGTCGTGCGACATCTTGACCTGCAAAACTAGGTGAATAACCAGAATCCTCATCCGGCAAAGGATCAGCTGGAAGAGCTGTGGAAACTGGGGTTAACCTTTCTGCTGGAACAAAGTTACGCGGACTAAGTTGTTCATCGTATTGGGG